CTAAAGCTTTTAAGGTTGCTGTAATTAAACCTCTGCTTAAGAAACCGTCTCTTGACCCAGATGACTTGGTTAATTATAGACCTATATCCAATCTTCCTTTCTTATCCAAAATTCTTGAGAAAGTAGTTGCCAAACAAGTTTGCGATCACTTACACCATAATGAACTTTTTGAAGAGTTTCAGTCTGGCTTTAGAGCTCATCATAGCACTGAAACAGCTCTGGTGAAAGTCACTAATGATATTCTCATGGCCTCAGATAATGGACTTGTATCTGTGCTCGTCCTGTTGGATCTTAGTGCTGCATTTGATACAGTTGACCATAATATTCTTTTAGAAAGACTTGAATATTTTTTTGGAATTAAAGGAACAGCACTAGACTGGTTTAAATCTTATCTATCTGATCGAATTCAGTTTGTTCATGTTAATGATAGATCTTCAACACGCTCAAAGGTTACCTGTGGAGTACCACAGGGATCAGTGCTAGGACCAATTCTCTTTACTTTATACATGCTCCCAATTGGTAGAGTTATTAGACAGCATGGGATTAATTTCCACTGTTATGCTGATGATACCCAGCTATATCTGTCTATAAATCCAGATGAAGCTAACCCATTACATAGATTACAGGCATGTCTTGAAGACATAAAAACCTGGATGACTCTTAACTTTCTGCTTCTGAATGCAGACAAAACAGAAGTTATAGTCTTTGGACCAGAGTCTCTGAAAAAGAAGCTGATTAGCCAGTCACTTCATTTGGATAGGATTAAACTGATTTCAGATAATAAAGTAAAAAATCTTGGTGTTATTTTTGATCAGGACCTGCTATTTAAATCCCATATCAAAGAGGTTTCTAGAATATCCTTCTTTCATCTGAGGAACATTGCAAAAATTAGAAATCTCCTGTCCAGGGGTGATGCTGAGAAACTAGTCCATGCATTTGTTACTTCAAGGCTGGACTATTGTAATTCTTTACTATCAGGGAGTCCACAAACTGTAGTTAAAAGCCTTCAGCTGATCCAAAATGCTGCAGCCAGAGTTCTAATGAAAATTAAAAAGAGAGATCATATCTCGCCTATCCTGGCTTCTCTTCATTGGCTTCCTGTTAAATCAAGAATAGAATTTAAAATCCTCCTTCTCACATATAAAGCCTTAAATGGCCAAGCTCCATCTTATATCAGAGATCTGATTGTTCCTTATGTTCCTAACAGAGCACTTCGCTCTCAATCTGCAGGTTTACTAGTGGTTCCTAGAATTTCTAAAAGTAGAATGGGAGGTAGATCTTTTAGTCATCAGGCTCCTCTCCTGTGGAACCAACTACCAGTTTTAGTCCGTGAGGCAGACACCCTGTCTACTTTTAAGGCTAGGCTTAAAACGTTCCTTTTTGATAAAGCTTATAGTTAGGGTGACTCAGGTTATCCTGAGCTATCTCTATAGTTATGCTGCTATAGGCTTAGACTTTTGGAGTACATAGGGACCCCCATTTCATCATTCTGCTTCATTCTCTCTCTGTTCTCCTATTCTGCAGAATCTGTTAGTTCAATCTCTAACCTTCTGCTCTCTCTGCTTTTCCTCAGAGTAGCTTTGCCTCGTCTGTTCCTGTTTGGCTGTGACGTCATCCTGGAAAGAAACATCAGCTGTGCTGCTTCCATCAACACCCTTGTTTATAGATGTTGGAGATCGGCCTGTTTTCCAGTGTAGTCCTGTTTCTCTGACCGTGACTGGGTGGATGTGCTCTCTTCGTCCTCTGGAATGGGAACTGCCTTGGAGCTCGTCTGCCTGGCTGTGTGTTTCCTGGATGGGGCCGCCTTTTACAGCTGCTTTTTGTGTCTCTGCTTCCGTCTCCTTGAACCCCAGTCGGCCTCGGCAGATGGCCGCTCACACTGAGCCTGGTTCTGCTGGAGGTTTCTTCCTGTTAAAAGGGAGTTTTTCCTCTCCACTGTCGCTACAAGCATGCTAGTGTGAGGGATTGTATTTGAGTCAATGAGTCAATGCAATCAATTGGTTTTCCTTAGACAGAAAACTTTGTATCGATTTGACTGTATGATCTGGTTGAACTGTAAAGTGCCTTGAGATGACATGTGTTGTGAATTTGGCGCTATATAAATAAACTGAATTGAATTGAATTGACAGATTCGGCGGTATTCATTTGCGGCAAATCATTGCAGCTTGGTGGCGGTGGCGTTAGCATAGTAGCATGGACGACGAGATGATTGAAAATGAACACAACGGAGATCTAGTCCTATTGGCAGACATTCATTTAAAATGTAGGCAACGGCATAAAAAAAGTGGTTTCTACTTTTACTTTTATACTTTAAGTAAATTTACAAGCCTGTACTTTGTTACTTTTACTTGAGTAAAGAAGTTTAATCAGTACTTCCACTTTTACCAGAGTATTTTTTAACACAAGTATCTGTACTTTTACGGTACTCATGTACGGAAAGTGAGTACTTTTGCCATCTCTGATTAGGGGTGAAATTACTTGTTTAATGGATAGACCTTGTTTAATGGATAGACCTTGTTTAATGGTGATTGGAAGGAAGGATGAATGGAAGATATTTAGTTTTTTACAAAAATATATTTTACTCTGTGCTGTTGTTTCTAAAATATCTCGTCAAGGTGGTGATTAAAGGAGGGCTGCCTTTTTAAAATTTAAAAGGCCTTTACGAATTAAATCAAATGAGATGTTACTACAGTTTGTATGAGATAACTTTTTTAAAAGTCTTTTGAAAAATGTTCTGGTCTTTATTGATTCTTACATATTAAATGTAGTTTATAATTCTTTTGAAAAAGTACCAGAAGACTGCAGTTTTATTTAACAAGACAAAAATAACAAATGGATGAAAATTTGAGTTCATTTTCAGAATGTGGTTCAGTGTTTATGCTCCCATGGTGCTACATTAATGAAGACAAGATTTCTACACAATTTGTGATTGTTCATCATCAAAATTTCCCTACTTTAAACTCCGATTTCCAGATGTTAGGGGTGACTTTTTGAAAATGAATATGAAAGCTTTGTTGAGTTGTAGAAGTGTACAGGCTTGGATGGATGGACGGGCAAATGCAAGGAAAGATGGATAGATGGACGGACGGACGCACAGACGCAGGGACAGATGGATGGATAGAAAATAACCAAAAGAGATATTTAGGGGAATACATATTTTCCAATGTTTAAATCAGTGAGATGATAAATATCAGCTTTGCTTAAATTATAAACCTATTACTTATTGTTGGACATGAAGAAAATTAAACTCAAGTGTAACTTTGTTTTATACAAAAACAGCATAAAGGTACCTTTCTTGAAACAATATTAGTCAATATTTAAATGTTAAAAGGCAACAAAGTCTACAAATAAGTCTAAATAATTTATTTGTCCACTCTATTACCTTCCTTTATTCTCATTTCAATTTTTCAAAATTAAAGATCCTAAATCCTACCTGAAGGACTGGGACTTTTATGTGTCCGTAAGGAACATTAAATCACAGTAAAGAAAAATACCAAGCGGGGTTCCTCAAGGCTCCATTATGGGGCCCCTCCTATTCAACATCAACATGCTCCCCTTAGCTCAGATTATAACACACAACAAGATTAGATCCCATCACTGTGCAGCTTTACATCACAATGTCACCAGGTGACTATGAACCCATCATCAACCCATGCTTAGAACCTCTGGATGACCTAAAAAATAATCTTTAATATCTCTTAAACAAAAGTAGCACAAACAATATTTTTTTCTGCACAAATCTGCACTAACGTTGCACTAACCATTCAGTCTATTTGCAGAGTTTTTTGACATGGGTGGGGTGTCAGCTTCACTCAGCTGATCGGGGAAACAGAATTTCGCACAAGACCGGCAGACCAAACCAGATGAAAGTGCGCATTCAGCGTCTGCTCTGCCGATAATGCAAGCGTAGAAGAAGAAATGTGCTGTTTACCTGTGCAAAGAAAGAAACAACGAAAGAAAAATGTCTGAGGACTTCAGTGTTGAGGAAGAGCATGAGTTCTTTGCTGAGCTGAATGCGCACTTTCATCTGATTTGGTCTGCCGCGGTTTCCGTAGACTCGTGAACGCGCTTTTAGGAAATCCTATACACTACTGTTTATGCTCTAAAAACATTCTAAATGACTTCGTTTTGAGTAAATTCTGGATGCTACCCACTCAGGACACTTGGAATACATTGGACGAGCAGTATGGAGGAATATTGACACGTTTTTGTGGACTTTTATGGACCTTTCTGTCTCGGGCGCCATAGACCTCCATTATTTGAATGTCAGCAGACAGCAAGAAGCCTCCCAGATCTCCAGATGCATTTGAGATATCAAAAAAGTACTCCAGAGTGTTGTTCAGCTTGGGGGTGAGTAGGCTAATCATGTTTTGGGTGTACTATTCCTTTAAGTCAAAAAACAGAAACCGATCTGAAAACATCAGGCTGAGCTCTGCTCTTATTATAATCAATATTAATACCATTATCATATTTATTATTGACTTTATATAATATAACTATTCGTATATATATATATATTTTTTTTTTATGAATAACAGTCTTTGGTATTCATTTGAGCCAAATGGTGAATGAGTGTGGTCCGATTTCGCCCCCCTGAGGAGGAAGAGTCTCTGATGTCTGATCGTTCACGTATATTATAGTAATGGTAACTAAGTAATAAGTAATGATTATTATATTACATAAATGTTTATCCCCCTCGCTTTTTAATTCATTTGTATTTGCTGTTCATCATAATTAGTGACAGTTACTCGAGGTCTAGAAAGGATACTTTCTCTTTGGTTTACATGTTTATGTTTCTTCACCAGGACAGAACCTTTAAAGAGAGATAAGCAAACGTTTTCAAGGCTGAGTGACTCCTCCTGTTTTGACAGAACGATCTCTGAAGGGAGCAGACCGGAAGTGTTCGCTCTTCCACTTCTGGTTTCCCCGCCCACACTCAGCTGTTCCTCGTCTGTTTGCAAACAGTACCGGGGCTCCTTGGTCCCGCAGCTCCGTCCAGGATGGGGGAGAATAATGAGAGCGACATTATAGAGCATCACGTTGATGAGGAGATGGAGAAAAAAACAGCGAGGTGCCACACCGCGTCCTCCCCGCTGCTGGAGAGCAGTCCGTCCGAGAGAGAGGGCCGGAGCGGCAGCAGCACCCAGTCCTCCCACAGACTGCTGGCCTACAGCGACGCTCTCATCTCCATCATTGCCACAGTCATGGTGAGACACGCTGTACAACTACTTATGGGCCCTTTAATGGTCATCAAAGGAAAAACAATCATTATATCTATTTGTTTACTTTAAAAGGTCAATCTTTATTTGCACCTCTGATCAATAATACACAATTTAGTGTAAATATGTTTATGATAACAGTGTATTCACACCCTCTCACTCCATATCTGCACATTTTCATTCTAAAATTGCATTAAAAACTCAACTTATTTATCTACAAAAATATCACGCTGGTAAAAATCCACTAATTTAGTCATCCATTCATCCTTAACTGGAATATCTAAAACATGCTCCAGCTGACAGAATGACCCATCTTGAGCTGCAATTATACCAAAATTGTCAAACAAATATGTAAACATTTTATATTTAAAATAAAAATAAAAAAAGTCATCTTTCATTATCCACTATACTCCCAAAGTGGAAAAGATTTATCTTCCCCTGGTTTAATTTAGTAAAAAAAAAAAAATCTTTTTTAAGGAACCTTCGGCTATCCGATTATTAATTGATTGAAAAAGTAATCGACAGGTTAGTCTATTTGTAAAATCATCATTCATTGCAGCCATCTACAGCCTCCTAGAAGGTCTGTTTTGTCAATTGTAAGAGAAACCAATAAGATAATGAGTTAAGATTTTTTAATCCTCAGCCTATTACCTAATATTCATACACAGAGTAGTTTGCATGAGATTTGACTGCACGGGTTCCTGTATCAGTGCCAGTATTCCAGTAATAACTTGTTTGTTTCGCATTGTTTATTTTACATGAGCTGCATAGAATTATTAATGAACACAGGTGTGAAATTCTTAGTTTACAGTATAATTAAGATGCAATTATTTTAGTAGGGCCCATACTTCTTTACTTCAATTCTCTAAAAATCCCCCGAATATAAAAAATAATGTATTTTTTTTTTTTTAATGTTCCACATAACTACAGATAACTTATTGTTATTTATTAATATTTACTTTTCTATCAAAAATTCCACCTTTTGCCGCTTTGTTTTAGTTAAATCCTCTGAAAACAGACACAGATCGGCAGATCTCTGCCCAGGTCCCCCTTTAAAATGAGATCCAGATCTCAATGGGGTTTACCTGGTTAAATAAAGAAAAATGAAATGAAAAAACAGATAACCGCACCTATCCTCAGAGCCTTTTAATCTAACCCTGACAATGGTGGCCTATCCAAACTATTTCAAAATTTCACTCCAAGGTTTGGTAAAAAGTTGCCGGCCCTGTATTTTATATATATATATATATATATATATATATATATATGGGTTAAATCTCCCCATATCTACAAACAGAAAAATAATAAAACTGGGAAAAAATGCTGTGACTCAATAGAGGTAAATAATAGTGAACAAAGATATGGACCTCGATATTGCAAAGATTATATCAATTAACCGTTTGATCAAGTTTAATTTTCATGATCCACACCTAAGCTGGAGGCGGCTGATCTTTTTAGTTTACCAATAAACCTGTTTAATACCAGTGCAAGCTTCTACTAAACTTTACCGAAACTCTGTAGGGTTTCCCCTGTCTGGGAGAATTAAACAATAGGACCATATGACGTCTTTCTCACATCCTCTAAAGCAGGGGGAACCAATTAAAACTCAGTGGGTTCTGAATAAAGAAAAATCATCAGCCAGTAAAGGTCCAGAGACATTTTTAATTATAATCTGTTACTTTAAACAGAATTTAACTGTGAAATAAAAAGCAGATCTTTATGCATCCATGTTAAACATAAAATTTTTAAATATATATATATATATATATTTTTTTTTTTTTTCATTTTAAAATCTAAAGTGTTTTTTGAAGTACAGAACAGCAATCGTTCAGTTTGGTTTATAGACAATTTCCTGATTCCCATATTTTATAAAACACCTGAACTGTCTTTTTTCTGTCTTAATGTGAGCAGTGGGCTTTATGCTGCCCTGCAAGGCTTTAAACCTGGGTTTGAATGGAGACTAAGCCATTATCAAGCACATATCAAGGTGCTCATTTTGAGCCTGGATCCAGATTTATTTTTGATTATGTTCATGGTGAAGAATCCTGCTTCACAGCAGCAGGTTGAGCCAAACACTCTAAATGTTCAGGGTCATCTTTGAGCACCATTTCACTTTTCTTTCACCAGTTCACCACAGTTCTTCCAGCAGTCCACACTTTCTTTGCTCTTTTTCTCATCATCTTCTCCTTCTTTCCCATCCCATTGTTAAATGAATCACAGTTAAACCAGTACAGTCTTTTAATCCTAACTCTGTGCTTCCAGATTTTACCGGTTGCCCACACTAAATTGGAAGATAATGAGGTAAAGCTGATTTTTATTACATTGAGACGCATTTAAAGCATTCTGTAACTTATAATTGATTTGTTTCTCTTGTTTTTTCAAATTCCTAATAATTTTAATTACCAATAGTTACTTGTTTCAGTGTGAGATGTTTTCTCCTGGTTGGTTTGGTGCAGGAGTTGAGGGAGAGCGTTCAGCTTCTGCTAACGACAAAGATAGCCGTCTATCTGATGACCTTCCTGATCGTGACCATGGCCTGGGCCGCTCACATCAGGTAATCCCTTCCTACTGTTGTTAGCTTCTCTTCTCAACACCTCAGCTTGTTGCTTATTGGATCTTCAAATTTCCAGGTTGTTCCAGGTCATCGTCCGTATTGATGATTGCCTCGCTCTGCTTAACCTTGTGAGTACAGAATCGGGTTTTAGTGCTGTTCCTTTCAGATTTCTATGGATTCATAGTTTTTTTTCTCTTATACTTGTTAAAACCATGTGAGCAGATTTCCTCTGAGGTTTCTGGTTCCTTCATTTTATTAATGATGACTTCTGCTTTCTGTTCTAATTTAGGCGTGTATGATGCTGATAACCTTCCTGCCCTACACAGTGAGTACCAGTCTGATTCTCTTCCTGTCTGCTTTCAAACATGCATTAATCCAGTTTAAATGGCTTCTCTGCTGCAGTTTTCTTTGATGGCAACCTTCCCTGAGAACATGCTGGGGATTTTACTCTTCTGCGGCTGTGTGATGGTAATGGGAGTCATTCAGGTGGGAAAATGAAGGCCGTCGCTTCTCTTTTATGTATACGTGCATCCCTCTCACTGCTCAGCCTGACGTTCTGACCGACCTAATATCCGTTTTTCATGGTTTCCCAGTCGGTGATTGTGGTTTACGCCTTCAGCCGGCCCTTCCTGCTCAACGAGCAGATCCAGATCTCAGAGAACCAGACCTTCTACAAACAGCACATCCTGAAAGTCATCATGAGGGTTCCCATCATGTGCTTCTTCGCCAGCATCTTCTCCTTCATCTTCTTCCCACTGGTCAGTTATAATACGTAACTTTTTATCCTTCTGCAATACTAAAATAGTAAATCCTTGAGACACAAACAGGTATTTGTACTTTGAGATAAAATAAAATGCAATGTTTGCTATTTTTGGGATGTCTGCAGGTGAACTCTGGGTCTTCCTTAGACCAAGAGAACCTCTTGGAGCCATTCACTTTGAACTCCTCCTACCCCTTTAAACCGACTTCTCTTTTTAATGCCGTTTGTTTTATAAGGTTTCCATTTATAAACATTTAATAATCCTGTCCTGATTTTTTTTCCCAGTCTTACGTTCTTCTAGCCATCATCACCTTCCTGCCTTACATCTCCCAGTGCCTGAAGTGGTGCCGCAGCAAAGCCATCGGTAGGCAGGTCTCCTCAACCTTCTGGCTCGCTTTGCCTTTTTTGTGTTGATGAGTGGTTCCAGATGCGGGGGCCAACAGGGGCCAGAGTAGAACTGCTTCTGGCCTCTTTACTGTAAACATACAATAATTTTTTATTTGATTCATCATTTTCCTGAAATTAATGTATTTTCATTTGCTTGTAAGTTAGACAATTTGCTAATAAAATGAAATTATTTGCATTTAAATTTTTCAAGTGCTTAATGATTATCTGATTTTAAGAATAAAAATACAACAATACTCGTTCCTTTGGCAGTTTTAAAAGCAGACTAGAAAAATACATATATAAGCTGAATATATACTGAACAGCTCTGCAGGAGTTGCACACAATCTCTTCATTGGTGCGGCAGCTTTAATTTGGCAAATGCCAGTGTGTGAATTTGGGAGATTTAGCATCTGCTAAATGAAAATAAGTCCCATCTTCTCTGACTTCTAACCACTGGTGGTTAGGAAAAAAACTGCATATATAAGCTGCATGGTTCAAAGCATCTGGAAAAATTAGTGGTTTATAATCCGGAATATATGGTAGTTATTTTAAGGAAGTCTTACTTATCTTGACCAGTTTCTTGTAGTATAATGCTAAATACATGTATTATTATAACCTGTGCCAACAGAAGAGACTGATTTGTCCCTTGGACCAATATTAATATTTCCCCTTTTCAGTTTAACAATTATTTCTAAATTGCATTGCATAGATTTAAGCTTCAGTCATACAAAGATAGGATAATATTTTTTTTTCTTTTTTATCTGTTTAAGGAATCTGCAACCCTGGTTGGTAGATTTTGTCTAGAACCGCCACATTTTGCCCTGATGCGGACTTTCTCTCAATCACTGATCTGATGTTGTCTGTTTCAGGCCAGGTGGAGGACACTCCAGACTCCATGGTGTTCTACACCTACCTTCCCAACGAGCCGCTCAGCAAAGAACGGGTGGAGGCTTTCAGTGACGGCGTTTACGCCATCGTAGCAACACTTCTGATCTTGGACATTTGGTATGCCATAATTTGTTTGTGCAGGACGACTTTAATGATGTTCTGTTCCGTAACGCCTATTTTTGGCTTCCATGCATTTAGCGAGGACAACGTTCCTGACCCGACAGTCGTGGAGAAGCAGTTTGGCGGCAGCCTGGTAGCAGCCCTGAAGGCCTACGGCCCGGAGTACCTCGCCTACTTCGGTTCCTTCGCCACGGTCGGCCTCCTCTGGTTCGTCCACCATTCTCTCTTCCTCCACGTCACCAAGGCGACGCGCTTCATGGGCTTGCTGAACACATTCTCCCTGGCGTTTGTTGGAGGTTTGCCTTTAGCCTACCAGCTGACGCACGAGTTCCCGCGTAACTCCCAGAACGAGCTCGAGGCCATTCAGATCAGCTGTGTGATCATCTTCTTCGCTGGTATATTCCAGCTCTCCATTTGGGTGGTGGCGCTTTACAGCGAGCAGGAAACGTTGCACCCTTACGTTTGGTACGGCGGGCGTGAGCATGTGTTCATGCTAGCTAAACTGGCTCTCTACCCCTGCATTGCTTTGGGGACCTTTTTTCTTACCTGCATCTTGAGTAAATTTAGCACCTCCATCTTCCACCTGATGGAGATCACGGTGCCTTTTGCTTTTCTTGTGCTGAGGCTCCTGGTGCGCGTTGGGCTGGCGATTCTTCGCTTCACCTTCTGTCCCAACAGGTCCAATCTGACAACTGTGGTGGACGATGACGCGGATGAAACAAGGGTGCCGTTTAATGCTGTGGTCACCTAGAGGTTTTCTGATCAGGTTTGTTGGGTTTACTGCTGGAAGGTGCCCCCCCGGTGGGTTTAACATAAAACCTACAGGAGAATACGTCCCTTTCTGTTATTTGTTTATATCTGGAGCACAGAGCCAAACAGATGGGATAAAGAGCTTTCACCTGCACTGAAAGGGCAATCCAAGTCCTGTAGAGGTAAAGGAAGCTCTCTGTAGAGAGGAGCTAATAGCTAAGGCACTGGCGCAGGCAGCCATTCATTCATTTTCTGTTATCAGCAGCAACTTTTCTAAAGCCATATAACCGTCCAGAGATCCAAATTGGATTTTCATAGCATGTTTATATTTTTCTCTCTTCATGAGGAGCTGCAGGTTGAGTGAGTAACGTTTTTCTCAAGGCTAAACTAATTTTAAAAGCATTACCTAAGGGCAGAGTTCAGACAATCTGTGGCGAGAGGCTATAAACAGAACATATTTCAACTATGGTTAAAACCTAGATACATGATTTTTGGTGTATTTGGCAGATTTAACTTATAAACGAAATAATTCTGGGTTTCCTTCTAGTCATATTTTTGCCCGTCCTCCAAGAAACCGGTGAACAAATAAACTAAAGGCACAAAACTATTATTTCCCAACATGGTGATTGGATATATGGGATGTTGTGCTGCTGATAAGAATTGTATTTTTTTTTTTTAGACGCATTCATACCAGTCGTTATAATAAATATGGAGAGGACAGGAATGTTCACCATGTTGGTTTGTGTTTTAAACAGTTTAAATATGATTGGCAAAATGACTAATTAGTGAATCTCGATTAATGTGTGAAGTTATCAAGAGTTAACTACCAATGAGATACTAACTGCTCATAACCTCTTCATAGAACCACTCTTAGGTTTGGAAGCTGATGCACTTTAAACTCCTTACTGAACAGAGATTCGTTGCTGCACTGCTTTTCTTTATATTGTGGCCCCGGCTTGTAAGGGAGACTTTAAATCTACTGATGTAAAAATCAGTTTAGAGAATAATTTAATCATCAACTAAAAGCTGAAACATCCAGCGTTGAGACAAGACGTTTCTGAGACAAAGACTGTGAACCGTAAGAAGTTTTTTTTTTACCGTGTTGCATCAACACTGGGATTCGGAAACTGTTTTTGCTTGTAGTTCAGTTTGTGTTTTTCTTTATGTTGTTGGTTTTATAATTATATGTTTTAATGATTAATAGCTGTGGGTCAACTGAACATCAACTGGTATTCTTGTCCAGTAGGGGTCACTGTTGTCCTAAATAGTAATTCAATTTGAAGACTGCATCCCTGACCGTTTTAATTTGAACCCAAATGGATTTAATCTAACCTGCACTTTATTTAAAACCCACAAAAAAAAAAAAAAAATCACATTAAAATAAGAGTTTTTGTATTGTGACTGACTTATTTTGTTTTAACAAACAGCCGTTTTCCCATCCAGATCCTCGTCCTGATTATGTCGAGGGACCTTTTTCTATTTGACTGAGGATTAAAAGCCGCTAATGTTTGTTGTTGTGTCTTCTCATAGATCCCTATTACCCAGAAAATGGTTGTAAATCAGTGTCACCTCTCTAAAATGTGTCTATTTGTGGCGCTCAACCTTTTTCGCCTGCTACACCATGCACACGTTTCCTTTCTACGTCAATAAAAATGAACTGTCAAGCTTTATTTTGGGTGAAGTCCTTTTTGATGTATTAAAACGCAACAAACACTGAACATTTTACAGAAAACAATTTTATTCACTTCCTTAAATTAAACTGCTTAACGTCACCCCTAAAAGCATCAGCACTGACTCTACACATCTTTGTATTGCTTGAATTGCTTCACAGAGGAAACCGAAGAAATAAACTCAGGTCTTCCTGACTGCTAACAGGAAATTCATTAATCAGGTTTGAAACAATAAAAGCTTCAAATTAAATCTTAACTGGGCTAATTTGTCTTGGTGTTAGAATATGTCTTTGTAAATAACATTTGTTTGGGTTTCCTTACCATTAAAAGTAGGATTTAAAGGCTCATAAAAAATGTTTAGTTTAACTTGTTTGACATTTTATTAGTTTTGTTTGGACCCAGATTAGCTGTGAGACAGAACCGGTTATCTGACTCCAACTTAATGGAAGTTCATCAATCAGCTGCAGCTGGTGGGAGGCAGGGCGAAGTGACCAATGGGCTCATCGTTTTGAATCTTTTCAACACTTTTTCTACATAATTACTTTTTAAAAAATTTCTCAATAAACTCATACCATGGTGTTGGTTCAAAACAATTAAGCTGAAATTAACAAGCCGTAAAATATTCCTTTAAGGGGGTTTGAGACTATTTCAGTGACTTTAAACTGTCTTTTTTGTCTTCTTGTCCACTCTTTGTTAAGAAATCCTCAATTATTACTTAAATATCCCAGAGATGTTCGCCAGACTCCACATAAATGGGTTAAAAAACATTAAGAAACCTCGTTTTGGACGTTATTGGTTGCTTCAGTATCTGGATACAGCAGCAGCTTGTTTGTTTTGAGTGATGTATACAGATTGTTGCACCTGGTCCCTAGAATATAAGCTACTTCAGTAGATTTTACAGCGTGTATAATGTCATTCTATGAAAAAAAAAAAAAAAAACAGAACAGTAGGAAGTAAAAACTTAATAGACTGACATGACAAATGTGAGCTAAACTAATAACCAGCAGCTCTCCAGTTCCTGCCTTGGGTTGTTTTTGTGACGCAGCAGCTCCATGGAGCGTTTTTTTTTTTTGTTTTTTGTTTTTTTTTTCCTTTCCCAGAAAAAACGCTGATTAATAGTTATTTGGTAAACATTTCTACCAAAAAAGCGCTGGACTGGATCAGAGAATGCATCGTCAGGGCAGTGGGGTGACGCGCCTTGTCACCGATCATGTGACTCATCCCAAACGGTAAACATGGAAACAAGCTTTCTAATAAAAACACCTCTCAGAGTTTTTATACAGAAACAGATCAATGTTATTACAGGGAAACAACAAACTGTACACAAGCTCTGTGAATAGTTCACCCCTATGCTATCATCTTACATTCATTATTTACTTAAAAGTTTAATGTGCAAGAACCCCCCCCCACATACACACCACACACACCATAATCTGCTTCCAATGATCCAAATCTTCCAATAAAGGAGGCGCTACGCTCACTAAAGGAACAGTTCCACCGTTTTTAAAAGTTGGATCAGAAGATGAATCTCATACGAGCATCAGGTTCCTCCTCACTGGAAAAATGACCCAGAAATAAGTAAAAAATGTCTTAAGTGTATTTACCCTTAATTTGAGTAGGTAAATGAGAGTTTGCCATTTGCCAATGGAATAAGTATTTTTACTCTTAAAATAAGATAATTAGATAAAATGCACTTGAAATAAGACATTGCAATTGCGTTTTCTTATTTTTAATGTAAATTGTCTTGTTCTGTTTGCAAAATGTCTTTTACCTCCTCAATCCAAGAATAAATTCACTTAATTTAAGGAAAAATAACTTCTCTAGATTTCGCTTTTTCCAGTGCTGTAAAGCTCACACATCAAGTGCTTCTGGATGAAGCAGGAAAGAAAAAGCCCAGTTTTCTCTCTAAACTTGGCTCCATTTCTACAACATAAAAAGATTATGTGCACTTTACCTGCAGCCGATAAAACAAATATATATAGGCTCACCTCATTCTTTAACAGAGGTATAAAACATCAGAGCAGACTGGTAGGTTTATATTCAGATTAGGTTTTGTTAGATATAAATCCCACATCATAGTCATATTACTGAAATCTTAAATATATATTCCAGCACCAGCAAACTGGAGATTTATAGAGAAAAAAAAACATAAAAATAATTTAAAGCAGGGGTGGTTATCATCAGCTTTGAAAATGCTTGACTTAAGAGCTCAGTGCTGCCACCTACTGAGGAGATTTTAGATTGAAAATGCATCAAAAACAATTCTTTAAATAAAACATTCAATTCATTAACCTGGGGAAACAAACAAGATAATTTAATAACATATTCTTGATTAAACTTGTCAATAAAACAGATATCTTATTAAAAGAAAAAAAAATGATCATAGTTTTTTTACAATTTTACCAGCGCGGCATGATAATGTGACGTCCAGCTACATTATGGGTTTATCTCTCGGGTAATGGCTCATACATCTATGTTTCTGTTTAAATTTAATAATCATGTTTAGAAGAAATGCTTTTTGTTCCCTCCATAAAATCCCATGTTATATAAAAACGATGAATCTGAGCTGCTCTGCAGGTTTCACTTCAGCCCAGAAATCGTTAAATCATTGAATGAATGATCAAACATGAATTTTATGTATATTGAATTTCTTTTACAGATTGGATTTTCTATTAACTAATTAACCTACCATTCTTGTTTCCTACATTTTTTGCCTGTACGCATTCTTGATGAACCTTTTAACTAACTATTGGGAAGAAGAGCTTATAAAAAAAAAAAAAAGATTGAATGAAAATAATTTAGTTTTCCCTTAAACCTGCACCATAATCCACCAGAATCACAGTAATGGTGTTATTACAGCACCGGCTCATAATCCCTATAGCTGGTTTACAGTTTCTAATGCGACTTTATTGTTTTAATGCATCTAAACTAATTCAATTTAACTGTAGAAATAAATAGGAAAAAAAAAGTGAACAGTGTTGGTGTGTGAGCTTTGCAGGTGTTTGTATAAAGACTTAAACTTTAATGGGATTCAGCTTATCTATTTTGTGCCACTAGATTAAAGCTCCCTGCTAAGAAGCAGACATGAGAGCAGCGCTGATCTCCTCATCCCACCGTAGGACAGAAAGAAACACGACTCTTCATTTATACAATCCTTTTTTTTGTTTAAGTAAAGCTTTATCCACATCACCCTCTCTAAATAACGTTTGCTTAAATCTACATCGCTGCCTATTAAAGATAAAGTTTGTTGATGCTAAAAGGAAATAATCTCTTTAGTTGCATATCATTTCTCACAGCTTAAATTGTTTGTTTTTTTTAGTTTTCCCACAGCATATCTCTAAGTAAATATATATATGTATATATTAGGTATTTGTTCAGCTAAATATTTAAGTATATTTCTGTACAATACATTACTTCAAGTGTCAAGTGTGCAGTTGATGTTCTACGCTCTGCGTCGGCATGCCTGCAGACATCCGTTTGTGCGACTCAGTTTGTTCAGAATCCTAAAAGCTATCAATCTAAGGAAATGGAGACTGAACCCGCTGATCCAGCAGGAGCCTAAGGCGGGACTTGCATTTCATGCTACATGTGTCGATATGGCGTGTGAAACCGTTACCTAGAGCGGAGACAATGAACCAGGCTGTAAAGTAACGTTCAACAGTCCTGCTGCTTCTCAGCAGCCTGTGTCCAAACTGCAGCTGGTGGAAGCCTCCTATGTCATAAAAGTCAGTGCAAAGTTAGCGTCCATGAACAAAGAGTCCAGATCTAAATATCGCCGGCATTGGAAAAGCAATGTGCTTTAAAGTTCCCCTCACTCAGAGAGATATCCTCCATGTTTTAGATGAAGACGGTCCAAAGCAGACCAACGACGACGCCTTCCTGGTTTCCTTTTGTTTGTTTTTGCTTGTTTGTTCCACAGAGTTTCCTCGGGTGCAGAGCTAGAAGGTTGCTGATGGATGTAGGGATAACACACAGCGCGCTCGTGCTCATACTAACTATCAGAAACGCGGCTGAAGGCGTTTGTTACTCAGCCTGGACAGCAGCTGAGGGCAGCAGGCCTCTCTCCTGCAGGTGGGAGTGCAGGGTGTTGAAAATGTTGAGCTGCTGCTCAGGCTGAAGCATCAGGAGCTGCTGAAGCACTTTGCTGGGGTTCGGACCTCTGCAAGATAAAAGGTATCAGAGCTGAGTGGAACAATAGGGATCCAGTTTATTCTGACAACAAAACAAACATATCGATGACCAGGATAAACATGTGCAACATGCCTACAAGTAAATGCACCTTTAGCTGTGTATTGAACCCCCTAAAATGGCTCTTAATAGTAATAAAGGGCCAGCTAAGGATTTTGAATAAAGCATATTAATAAGTAGAATTCTTACAAGCTTTAGCAGTTTTTAAAATAAACTCTGCACTTTTATTTTCACTACAGAATGTCTCTGAAAAATCAGGAGTATGTTTTATATTTTTACAGAAAGAAAAATCATATAGAACAAAAACTAAAGTAATTTTTTTCTCTTTATGAAAATGTTGTTTTGCCCTTACCTTCAAATACTAAAAACAGAAAATAAACATTTTGTTGTTTAAAATGGTGAAAGATTTCCTATTGCAGATATTTAAAAAAATAAAAATGTGTTTTATTTAAAGGTCATGTTATATTTTCGGCTCTGAACATCTTATTTAGGAAGGAAAAGACACAAGGAGGGGGAAGATATAATTTATAGAAGGATGATCAACATAAAGGAGGTACAAATATAAGGGAAGAGGGGTCAAAGTGGGATGATAGAGGGAAGGGAAGAAGGGAGCAAAGGACACAAGGTATGAAGAAAGAAAAGATACAAAAGAACAAACTAACTCATTTGCATTTTTCCCCCCATTTTCTAGCTTTTTCTCTGCCTCGTGCTTCTTTTCCAAACAAACGACTTTATGATCAACCATAAGCAGCTGCGCGCAAACATATCTGACAAAAATGTATTTATAAAAGTTTTTTTTTAATAAATAACGCATTTTAAATGCCACGATAAACACATCTAATTAATTTGAATGCCAATTCAGGCCTTAATATAAAACATTATAATATAATGACTGTGATTCTTAATGACCCGCGGAAACCCTGTCAGAAAGAAGCCAAGAAGAAAGGATGGAAGGAAGCAGCATTTAAACATAAAGAAAAAACAGAGTTAATTCAGGAAATGTGCAGATTTTCCTAAAACTCAATTAGAAAATACTCTAAATTATCTAATTCGCTCTATGCTAAACTCCACTACTCCCAAAACTTCAACCATCTCCTTTCTTTCCTGTCTGTCATTACTGGGCAGACTAATTAAAACAGGTGTGTCTGGTCATTCTCGTCATGGTTACCGAGATCAGACACACCTGTATCAATCAGATGCAGAGGGTTTTTTTTCTATCCCAGGGAAGCAGACCTGGATGTGTCCCACACCTAGAACACACCCAGCTTCAATGCCGAGACGAAACCCAGTCTGATAGAAGCTCATTTCCTACCTGACGAAGCTGGCGAGATAGACGTGAGTGAAAGTGGCCATCAGATACTGACAGTCAAAGCGGTCCATGATGCCTCCGTGGCCTGGGATGGTGCTGGCAAAGTCCTGAGGGAGTAAAGACAACCGTACATGTTGAGCAACTTTTAAGGGAAGCAAACCTATCCTTTCAATAAGAGAGGATGACCGGGAGGAATAACTATGGCCAAACATACAGGTATATAAAAAAGTTTGGGCACCCCTATTAATCTTAAATTTTTTTTTATTTCTTAATATGGGGTGTTTGAAACACTAAAATTTGGTGGAGGTTCCATCATGCTTTTGGGCTGCGTTGCCAATGCTGGCCTGGGAATCATGTTAAATTGGAGGGTCGCATGGATTCCACTCAATATCGGATTCTTGAGAATAATGTTCAAGAATCAGTTATGAAGTTAAAGTTACGCGGGGATGGAGATTTCAGCATGACAATGATCCGAAACGCCGCTCCAAATCTATTCAGGCATTCATGCAGAGGAACAACTACAATGTTCTGGAATGGCCATCCCAATCCCCAGACCTGAATATCATTGAACATCTGTGGGATGATTTGAAGCAGGCTGTCCATGCTCAGCGACCATCAAACTTAACTAAACTGGAATTGTTTTGCAAAGAAGAATGGTCAAAAATCCCTTCATCCAGGAAATCATTAAAGGCTACAGGAAGAAACTAGATGCTGTTCTGTTTGCAAAAGTAGGATCTACTAAATATTAATGTCTCTTCCTTGCTGAAGTGTCCATATTTTTGCATCTGTCAAGTTTTGTTTTAATGCAAACTGCACATTTTCTGCTACTCCAATAAACCTCAATTCTCTACTGAAATATGACTGTATCCATCAGTTATTAGGTATATTAAACTGAAATAGCTGTTGCAAACACCCAAATATTTAGAAATAAAAATAATTAAGATTAATAGGGGTGCTTTTTCATATGACTGTATAACTGGCATTCATCGTTTCTACCACTGAGGAAGAACTCTTCCAGACATGAGCTGCTTAAGTTATACTTTGACTAGGCCACTCCGAAACCTTGATGCTGGGTTTTTTTATACGTTTATCTCAATGTAACAAAATCTAAGACAATTTTTCATTGGAATTAATGTATTTATAAAAGGACAAACTGTAAACATGTGCTGTCATTGGATGGGGCTTTCTGTAGAGACAGAGGGCGATCTGATTTGATTTTAATTCCCTTTTCCCCTCAGTAGCAGAGCAGAGGTGCTGAGGCAAACTTGCCAGCAGGGGTAGCACTTTTATCCCGGCAATCTACGGTGGAGAATCTGTGCTGCTGTTTGAATGATGAGTCATAAAACTCTGCTGTGCAAACATTCTCAACTAAAGCTGTACTACAGGTGCTGGTCATAAAATTAGAATATCATGAAAAAGTAGATTGATTTCAGTAATTCCATTTAAAAAGTGAAACTTGTATATTATATTCATACATTACATACAAACTCATATATTTCAGATGTTTATTTTGTTTAATTTTGATGATTACAAATGACAACAAATGAAAATCTCAAATTCATCATATCAGAAAATTAGAATATTGTGAAAAGGTTCAAAATTGATGGCCCCTGGTGCCACACTCTAATCAGCTAATTAACTCAAACCACCTGCAAAAGCCTTTAAATGGTCTTTCAGTCTAGTTCTATAGGCTACACAATCATGGGGAAGACTGCTGACTTGACAGTTGTCCAAAAGACGACCATCGACACCTTGCACAAGGAGGGCAAGACACAAAAGGTCATCGCTAAAGAGGCTGGCTGTTCACAGAGCTCAGTGTCCAAGCACATTAATAGAGAGGCGAAGGGAAGGAAAAGATGTGGTCGAAAAAAGTGTACAAGCAAGAGAGATAACCGCACCCTGGAGAGGATTGTGAAACAAAACCCATTCAAAAATGTGGGGGAGATTCACAAAGAGTGGACTGCAGCTGGAGTGAGTGCTTCAAGAACCACCACACACAGACGTATGAAAGACATGGGTTTCTGCTGTCGCATTCCTTGTGTCAAGCCACTCTTGAACCACAGACAGCGTCAGAAGCGTCTTGCCTGGGCTAAAGAGAAACAGGACTGGACTGCTGGTGAGTGGTCCAAAGTCATGTTCTCTGATGAAAGTAAATTTTGCATTTCCTTTGGAAATCAAGGTCCCAGAGTCTGGAGGAAAAGAAGAGAGGCACTTCATCCACGTTGCTTGAAGTCCAGTGTAAAGTTTCCACAGTCAGTGATGGTTTGGGGTGCCATGTCATCTGCTGGTGTTGGTCCATTGTGTTTTCTGAGGTCCAGGGTCAACGCAGCCACATACCAGGAAGTTTTAGAGCACTTCATGCTTCCTGCAGCTGACCAACTTTTTGGAGATGCAGATTTCATTTTCCAACAGGACTTGGCACCTGCACACAGTGCCAAAGCTACCAGTACCTGGTTGAAGGACCATGGTATCCCTGTTCTTAATTGGCCAGCAAACTCTCCTGACCTTAACCCCATAGAAAATCTATGGGGTATTGTGAAGAAGAAGATGCAATACACCAGACCCAACAATTCAGAAGAGCTAAAAGCCACTATTAGAGCAACCTGGGCTATCATAACACCTGAGCAGTGCCACAGACTGATCGACTCCATGCCACGCCGCATTGCTGCAGTAATACAGGCCAAAGGAGGCCCAACTAAATACTGAGTGCTGTACATGCTCATACTTTTCATGTTCATACTTTTCAGTTGGCCAACATTTCTATAAATCCTTTGTTTTTATTGGTCTTCAGTAATATTCTAATTTTCTGATATGATGAATTTGAGATTTTCATTTGTTGTCATTTGTAATCATCAAAATTAAACAAAATAAACATCTGAAATATATGAGTTTGTATGTAATGTATGAATATAATATACAAGTTTCACTTTTTAAATGGAATTACTGAAATCAATCTACTTTTTCATGATATTCTAATTTTATGACCAGCACCTGTATCTTCAAAGGTGACTGTAAACATTTACAGGACAGCATAAACTCGTCCTATTAAATCTGAGGTTTAAATGTCAGTAAAAAGGTGTCTGCCTAGAAAAATTACTTAAGACAGAAACAGTGGGGAAAGGATGGGTTCAGTTTTACTTTGATTTTAAAGGCTCGCTTGAAGCCGCTGGCAAAGAAGCCTCCAAAGGGCCCGATGAGGGAGGCGAAGGACGACAGGAAGATACTGTGGATCTGGAAGGGGTACAGGTTCACCGTTTTCTGAAATGGAAGCAAAGGAAAACATCAGCTTCTGATTTATCAACACTAAAGCCAAAGCATGATTTAAGTCAGGGCATTTTACCGAAACAGAGCACCAGTACCCTCAGCATCAAACAACAACAGGCTGCGTTGATGGAGAAGGTTTGAAATAAAGCAGCAAGTCTCACCCATCTCAGCGTGTTCTGCAGCACAGCGGGGAGGGTGTACTCCTGCATCACAAACAGATCAGACGGCTCGCATACGACCGTGAACCTGTTGGTCTCACTGTTGAACTCCACGGGACACACAAAGTACTGGAACTGCGACAGGAGGTAGGACAGCTGAGGAGGAACGAAGCGCAGGGAGACTGTGAGCTGCCATTCTGAGATGGCCTGAAAAAGATCTTTACACAGTGTTTATCTGAAAGCAATTAAAACAAGAAAGAGCATTTTGTTTGGTTGTTTAAATGCTTCCGTCACAGAACAGGCTATTAAAAGTATTTAACTGCAACTAAGAAGAAGGTGAGAATATTTGCCAACCTTATATCTATTCGTCTATTCTCAGACTGATTTACGTAACACCAGAGGTGTGCAGGTTTCACTCCTCTAATTCAGTCATTATAAATTAATGAATATCATTTTAAATAAGATTTCTTTAACTGTGAGGTTATAACAGCTAATAAGCATTGAACAGATATTGTTTGCTTCACTCTCATTTGAAGGTATCAGATACCTTCAAATGAGAAATAAGAAATCAAAGACTCTGCAGAACAAGAACCGAGTGCAGGAAGCTGCTTCATTTAACAAAGGAAAGAACAAACCAGCTGATGAATAAATGTCTGCATTTCACACAAACACTGGAAAACCATTTAATTAAAAAAGTTGGTTAATAGTTCATGCAGAAGGACCCTGGTTCAGGTATCAAACCTATGAACTTCTCACTCTAAGGCGGCCCTCCAAAAATATGGCATTAAAATATCCTAAAATTGTCCGTCTCCTCTAAGATTACATTACATCTCATTATAATGTGTTTCATAGACATTTCCAGCCCAGAAAGGATGAATGTTCCCTTCTGCAACTTCTGGGCGTCTCTACAAGACGTCTAGGAGAAATCTTTTAATATAGAGGAGAAATGGCAGCTCTCCTCACCTTATATCCATAGCAGGGCATGTCTCCCTTATGAGGGATGCTAAATCCCGCTGCTAGTATCTTAGATCTCATAATTAGCTCCTCATACCTCAGTGCCAGAGGGTTGGAAGGTCAGCCTGAACTGTTTCTGCATTACAAACGCCAGGCAACAGAAACCTTTATTTTTAATAATTCAAAGTGAACTTTAGCACTTATTATTAGAGACAGACTAAATAAAGGTTTCAGAACTCCAGAGATTTCTGTTAAAGGTCTCTGGAGTTGATCTTTTAATCCAATAAAGCGTGTGTAAATGGTTTGTCATGAAAGGTGGATCACTCATGAGCCAGGGCCAGAAAACTGCTCAAATTTAACTGAGAGTCGATTGAAGGATAAAGAATCAGCGGAAAGATTTCACCCGCTGTTCAATATTTGATCACAAAGCCAAACACTGATCTGACGACCAGCAGGAGTTGGGATTCTATCAACAAACTTCCTAAGAGGGGGAATCGATTGTGGATTTATTCCCTGCTCCTAAAAAAAAAAAAAAAAAAAAAAAAGATCTTCTCTGGGTGATCGGAAACTGTCCAGAAGGAGAGGCCGAACATGTGATGAAGCTGTGAAAACTGCCAAACTCACCATGAAGCCAAAGACAACCGTGCCGAAGTAACCCCCGATGAAGCCCTCCCACGTCTTCTTGGGTGAGAGCTGCGGGGAGAAGAGAGCAAAAAAAGGAAGGTTCAATTCAGCTACAACGCCATTTTAATCAGCTGCTTTGAGAAAAATCTGTTTTTATGCTGTAGACTGGGGTGCCTTGGACAAAATCCCACAAACATTAAATTCAATAAATAGGAGCTTAAAATGAATTGGCTTTAATTCTCAACTTGTTAGGTAGTTAAGAACAAAACTTCACGTTTCTCATAGTCTTTCTTATGGGTCTAAACCAGATTTGGTTCATTCAATACAACATATTTCAGAGACATTCAAAGAGAAAGTTTGATCTAACCTAAAAGTAGAGTAAATCTAATTTAGCTGCATTTTCTTTACCCCACCATTGGAAATACATTAAACTCTGGAAAAGCAGAAGGGGAAAAAAGTGTAAACACAATGGCATGATGAAAATACTTTTCAGCAAGGATCTTAGGTAAGCAAACACTGTAACGCATAGATCAGGTGAGGGCAAGCTCAGACTGGGAACCATGTTCGGCCCTGGCACTTTTTCATCTACACCGGCCCATTTATGGACCCCAGCCCTTCTATAGACTTCTATAATGCGGTTTTACTGGCTTTGGTTATTAACACGGCCGCAACAGTGACTGCTGCTGCGTAACATCCACACTTGCACATACTAGGTCTACAACGTAAGCCAGAGTGTTGTTAGAACACCAACATAAAACAATACAATATAGAGGCAGACAGGCAGTTCTTCAAGAATGAATACATGAAAGCGTAGCAGTGTGTAAGCATTCACTGCCAGTCTAGGTGGCATGTGGGCAATAAAATGAAACAATGTAAAGATGCAAAACCCCATCATGCACCGCAGCATATTTTTGCAAAATATTCGAACATAAGCTGGCCAAATATAAGAGGAACATCATAGCATTTCAGTTTTATTTATAATTTAGTTTGTTGGAAGAAATAGAAAATGACACCATATGCCAACCGTCACAAGGATGTGCATGACAAGGAAAGGCTATATATACTGCATGCATCATTTAGGTAGTTAACATTGTATTACTTCTTGAGCTCCTTGAGTTATTTACTGCCGGTGCTTTGGAGACTATGTGTTGTGGCAGGGATGATTTAAGGAAGACCGGCCCACTGGGCAAAATGCCTGGTAACACAGATTACCAGTCCTAGCCTGGGTAAGGGTTGGAAGGACTCTTGAAACTATTTGTAATCTATGATTCTACAGAGAGAAAGAAAATACACAAGAGAACATCTAAGATGGCTGAAGATCAAGTTATCAAAAAATGTTAACAATTAAAGTTCATGAAAAGGACAATTAGAAAGAGGTCCGACCAACTAAGTTTACTGAGGACATCAGATGGGTTTATATTAAATGTCCTGCAAACTAAAGTCAGGTTGAGCTTTACACTAAAGAAGTCTGGAGTAAAATACGAGGCCACCTTTCTGACAGCAGAAGTTCGGCCCAAAAAAGGACAAGACAATGTTTCCAAACAACAGAAAATATGATTTAAGAAAAAGAAAACCAAACAGGAAAATAACTGCTTTTGTCCAATCAAAATCAAGAGCTCAGCCTGACAGTAACTCTCCTCTTATCACTATTCTTTATAAAGAATAGTGATAAAAACTTCCTCCATACAAAATAAAACTATTTTAAGTTATAACTGGAGGTCAATAAACATCCATATTTTCTCCTAAGACTATAGCTTACTTCAACATCTGTTACCAAATGTATGCTGGTGACACTCAACTTTACACTTTTGTACAACCACTGGTCTTAGCCTACTACAGTTACTGAAGTTGTAGCTGAGCATACTTTACTGCACAAAAGTCCCAAATACAAGGATCAGAGCTTAACGTTGTTTTCATATTGGACTAAAACCTCCATCGTAGCATCCACATTAAATCTGATACTAAATCAGCATGCTGTCAAAATAAGAGGGACGTTAAAAAAAACAAAAACACAATGATGCATGCTTTTTTGCTGCAGCATCACCTAAGATCATAGCAATATACTCTTCAAACCTGGATCTAGAATGAGTTCTGACCAACAAGAGGAAATCTGATCATACAACTTCCATTATTAAATCCCTTGTTCTGTTTATAAAAGGTTATTAGAAGTCTGCTTTTTGTCTACAGGTCAAACAAATTATGTGGTGCAGAGATAAACTTCTGAGTTGCTGTTCAAGAACGAATTCCTCAACTGTCATCAGACACCAACCCAGTGATGGATTCCAAAGCTTTTCTGTACTCCTCACTTTAAGAAATAACATCCTAGAAAAAAAAGCTTGTTCAGCCCGCAGCTGTTTGCTCCTTTAAATCACAACAAAAAAAAAAAAATTTTATTCACTACTGCTTTCTATAAATGAAGCTTACTGATAAATGAGAGCTTAAAGCTTCCATTTAAGATGAGGCTGTCCTATTGCTTTGTGTAAAACCTACATTAAAGAGAGTTTGGCTTACCTTGATGAGAGGAGTTCTCCCAAAGAAGAATCCAAACAGATAGGCCATGATGTCATTGCAGATCACAATGGAAATAGGAACAATGAACCTAGAAAGCAGGAATTCCAGTTATGGTGAGAGGTAGTGAAAAGTACAACCGAAATGAGATCCTAATCTGTTCTGGAATATTACGATAAACAGAATCAAATTCCTTCTTTTTACTATACTTGATTGACTTAAAATCTGTTTATTTTTTGCATCTTGCAGCTAAAGGAACATATATATGCTGCCTCAACATAAAAAAACACCACAACAGTCAGGAAACACTCATGATGGCACACATACAACCGCGGTCTGGTCCGTCGCTCTGCGTCCTGCTTACCAGATCATTCCTTCAAACAGGTTCTGAATGACAAGGTGGGACTGAGTTACCACAATCAACAGGGTCACATGGGTCCAAGCAAACTGAAATGGCAAACACAAACAGTTTCACTGCATGGGAATGTTGCTGTGCCTGTTCACAGGTGAGCTACCGTCAGAAATGGGTGGAGTCCAAACAGACTGACGGATGGAGTAAACGACAACGATTAAGCCGTGCCACAGAGGGAGATGAGCTAAATCTGTCGGAACAGTCATGATGGAGGCAGCACAAGGGCCAAAATGGAAAAAAGCATGAGGAGACTGCATGCATACCAGAGAACATTAATCAAACATAATGGAAGCAGCACAGTACAGGAGCCAACTTTACTTATATCTTATAGTTATATCTGTCATTACATTAGCTACTAGTCCAGCCATGCATTAAAAGCATGAATGAGTTCTTAATTTGGGAGTTTTATTGTTCAATTTTGAATGTTTCTTTTTCAGTGGGGAACAATTAAAAGCCATTCAAGATAAGAGTTAAAAAAAAAAAAAAAAAGCAATACGCAATCTATTGTAGATGTTTTCATACAAAGAGCCAAAATAAGAATATTAATAATAACAAAAAGAATATTATTAATAACAAAAGGAGACACATTAATATTGGGTTAAGCAGTGAACAACTTAACAGATTATAGCACTCTTCCCACTCTTCATGGTAGAATTGATGGCGCTCATTTTAATTTGTCGGTTTCATAGAAAACTATTCTTTAGCAGAGTTCAGACATTTTCTGGTGAGCAAAGGTCAACAGTTTGGAGAGGGTGTTGGGGAAGCTTAATGTTAGCCTCCTTTATTCGTCCCAAAATAGTTTTATTTTTTATATAAGTTTTAAGATTTCCTGTTACAAAGGCCTTTTGTGCCCATATTTCTACCTTCTGACAGGAGCAGATGGAAGGAAACCATTCCGGGAATAGGGTTGGAGGTATGCATTTATCTATCAGCAGTTAGCATCAATGATGCTCACTGCCATGAGTCATTTTAATTCATATATGTTTAAAGAAAAACTAAATGTAATTTTAGCTGTACTATGTCTAACATTACATACCAAGTGAGAACCGGAGATAAAAAGTGTGATTTATGAGCTGATCAGTGGAGTTTAGCTCTTAGCAGCAGTCATACCCTGGGAAATATCCCAGGCTTTTAGATATTTATTGCAGGATAACAACCCTGCAGACACAACAAAAAATTAGCTGTTTGGCCACAAACGACAAGAAGAATCTTTGAAGGAGTCAAAAGTTGGCTTTAACACCCAGGAACATTGCGCTAACTCTTAAGTACGGCGGTGGCAGCATCATTATGTGCTGCTAATAGAACTGGTGTATTTCACTAAGTGGATGAATGTACTGAGTGCAAATCATTTATTTCACCTCAAATAAGCAGCTAAGTGGTTCAAACCTGGTTACTGATCAATAATAATAATTAAAAAAAAAGGTTTGGAATGGATAAAGCAGGATATTTGAAGGCCTGGGAAAGATGGTTTCAAGGCCTTGACCTCAACCTTGAGAGAAATGTGTGGACTATGTTTAAAGATGGGAGGTTCCAGGGAAGCTACGACCATAATTGAACATCAATTATTCAATGAACAGCAGGAGAGGAGGCCAATGTTTAGCTGGGTTATGATAGTCAACGGCTTGATGCCAACAACTGTCTATTTTAGGCACATTTATATAAATGGCTTTAAAAACTCCAATAAAGGTATTTAGAAATAAAACAAACAAATGTTTGTGCCTTTAAATGTGGTGTAAACAAGAAAAGCAAACAAAATGATGGTTAAATAAAGTTAGAGCAATGGGGCTCTAATTCTGCACCCGAATTTCAGAGACTGGAGTACAAATTAGGTCTGAAATCTTCTCAGTATGACACGATGAAAAGCAGCGAGAGAATGGATTAACGCAGAAGCAGAGAAAATGTTACTTTGCTGATACACACCATGTAAAACTGCAGGCGGTAATGTTTCTTCACTAAACTCAGCACAAACATGCAGAAACCTGTGAAAGAGTAAACAACATGCTGTCAGTTTTACTCAACAGTGTACAGTAGATGAAACAATAGTCTGCTGTGTCCTGGAGGGAGGAGTATCGTGAACCATGCATTTGATTAAACAATTCTCCACTTCAGATTTTATTTGCATGGCTCGTGTTCCCTGCAGGCTCTAGACCCTGCAGCTGGATTGTGTACTGCTTGGACGCATCTTTAAAGGCATCCTGTGTCTCTGCTGACCTTTCTAGTCACAAAGTTTTTAACTGACTGTCAGGCGCTTCTGAAACTGCCTGATGAGCCGATGATTCCCTCTGATGGTTCCTCGTCAAATACCAGCTTCACACAGACCAAGTCCTTTATGTCCCCATGTTTCAAACAGTTGATTTATACAGGAATAATAAGCAGGTATGAAAGCTGGATATTTGTAAATTATTTATGCAAAAGATGTGTGAGAGATGGAGGAGAGAAATGCAACAACCTGATGGGTTAAAAGGATTCTTCATCGACCGCTCCGCAATAATCAGGTGACCCTATGACGCCATGTTTTGCTACAGCAGACTTTGGAAACGTTTCATTTTGCTTAAGATCAACAGGATCTTCTTCCAGCTGTGTTGTTCACAGTTCAGGCATTAATCTCATTTTCTGACTTTAGACAAGAGCATGTTTATGTAGGCTGCCATTCACAGAGTTGGAAAGGTGAACACTCATGTGACTTAGCTTTAACTAACCGTTTTGAAGAGCAGCTAAACAACAGCGAAGCACTCGAAGCTTTTAAACTAAAAGCTAAAATGTCACTTAAGTATTTATTCATAATCGTCAATTGTACTATTTAATCGCCTTGTTTGATGGGCTGAACACCTTTAAATTCTATTTCTATTCTAGTCTCTTTGTTTGCAAATTGATCATAGCCCAGATTAACTTGTAGTTTTAAATTCCTTCCTTTTAAAAAAAAAAATATGATTCTCTTTTCTCTGTTTGCTGTGTTCTTTGCTTCCAGATTCTCTTGCGTTTGATAACAGCTACATAAATAAAGCTAAGCAGATCAAAGAGAAAAGTCTTGGAATCAAAATTCATAAGCCAGAGTAGCAGAAAGTGATCCACTTATGCTTTCAAAAACGTTATTGGCTGAAGGCTCCCATAAGAGTTGGGTGGAAAGGATCCTGTGTATTCCTTACTACGACAGAGTATGCGAGTGATACAGAAAAAATATCTTTCAAAATAAGTAAAAATAGGAGTTAAATTGAGATATGAGACAAATGATGCACTTAATTAGGGCACCTCAAACACAGACAGTACGACCGAGCTGGGAGCCTTTCGCCTGCTGGAGGACTTTAAGTGACTACTTCTTCTCCTCCTGCTGCGCTCTGTTATCACTCTCCAACTTTTTGCTGTTAATTATGGCTCTAATTTTATGCATACAGTCAATTTTTGTAACTGGATTTATATCAAGGCTTTTTCCCCCACATCTTCAGCACTGAATGTGGAGGGTGTTATATGTGAGCTAATATAAGATCAATCAGCTACTTAACTAGCAAAGAAAAGTTATAAACAGCACACAGAGGATATGAATGAGCTTATGTGATTGTATATCAGAAAAGGTTTCCCCTTAGGGTTACATCTGATCTTTTAGCACCACAATTAAGGCTCAGCTCCACAAAACTAACACTGTTTGGGGGGAAATCTGATTTTTCCTTCTGCAAAAGAACCAGAGACAAGAATGTATGCAAAGTGGGCAAAAGAGCAAGAGTAGTTTTCTGTTTGTTTCCTTTTTCCCCCCTTCAAGATATTAAGTACATTATCACCCTCGAGTACAAACTCACCTGCGAGATACAAAGTGAAAGAAATGAAGCGGTGATAACGAGCCAGGAACTGCAGAGGTTCCTCCCTCCGCACCAAAGCTCCAAAATAATCTGCAACCGTTTCACCATAGAAGAAGTAGTTGACACAAATCAGGAAGTACCTGGGGCAGAAAAGAAAGCTCTGTTCATTGTTTGCAATAAGTTGTAGCGCCGTTGTTAGACTTTTCGGAGCTTAGAGTATGGGTCAGTGGGTTTCTGGGTCTACTAGTGTGTTTCTTAAACACGCTGCAGGTTAATGTACAGCAGGTTACGTGTGTGGAGCTGTTGTGAGTGGTGGCCTTGAGGAAATTGTTTATTTACTTCCAGCTTGGCGGTGATCTTTGCTCCGACCTGCATTGTGTGGGTGTGTATGCAAAGTGTTAGACTGAGTCGCACGCAGACAACAAAACATGCAAATCTAACAAACTGCAATTCAAGTTTCACCCTGCAAACAACAGACCATTAGATCATGATTTATTTCATGTTAAGTATGCGTTTCTGATTGATAAGAGAAAAAAAAAGGCAGAAGTTCCTGCTATTATATCTCTGAGAAAGCTCATCTCCACCATGTTGGTGTCAGATTTTTATCTAAAAATTCACACTTTTTTAGTTCTAAAGGAGAAAAATGGTTTAAAGGTTTTCACATTTTTATTGGGAAATAGTGGGAGACGGCCTTGATTAGGAAGGAAGAACCCAATGGTTAGTCGGTCAGGGCGCCAACGTTCCTTTGTGGAGAGAGGTGAACCAGGCCTGTGAATACCAGGCCGGCACCATTCCCACAGTGAAGCACGGTGATGGCAATATCATGCTGTTGGGATGTTCTGTTTCTTTAGAAGCAGGAATTTATATACTACTTAGATTAGAGGAAAATATTAATGCAGCAATGTACAGCTACATCCTGGGTAAAAATCTGCTCCAGACTTCAGACTTGGGCAACGAACCACAAGATCGCTCCTTTATGGTTACAGCCGGCCTCTCAGTCAGTTCTCACAGATCTGCCCCGTTTTATGTCCAGATTAATGACAAATTTTTTTCAAACTGGCTTTTAATAATTAGAACACACTGTTTTATGCTTAGGAGTTTTGTTTTTTTCAATGTTTTTATCTTTCTGTTAAGCACTTTGGTCTTCCTGGTGTTATTGTAAAGTGCTATACAAATAAACTTTGATTGATTAATTCATATTAAACACGTGCGAGAGCATGCACAAGCCCATTTCTCCTTGTGCACGCTCTGCTTAAAAGTTGCTGTTCTCATAACTCATACAAGCTCACTGTGCCTGAACGTTCGCCCTGACCCTAAATCACTATATAGAGTTTATAGCCAACTCAGTTAACTGACTATTTGGAAAGATGATCACTGCTTTTTGCTCCATTGGTTACATAACTCCTCCTCCACAGCAAAGTGCCTGCCCCATCTTTGTTAATAGTCGCCGGTGTCAGGTAGCGACAGTGGGCCGTTATGCCAGCAAATGCTTTGCGAGGAGAGCTCTCCGTGCAAAGCATTCTGGGATATGTCTGCCTCTTCTGAGGCCTTTCTTTTCTTCTCATACACTTCGTAGACACTTTTTTTCTTATGACCCTCGGCCATTTTCAAAGAACCGCGGTGAGAAAGATGAGCTTCAATGACTGTCTGAAACCGTAGCTCATCACACATATAAGCCTGAAAGAACACATGCTCAGAAAACGATAGCCAATGGGGCGAGCACATAGGACTGCCAGAATGAGGACATTTAGGAGGACCTCTTATTTAGATGATCCACCCAGATAAAGAAAATCCTCCACTATACCTTTAAGCAAAGGCTGTGAATATTTAAGGAAGTTTATTTTTTAGTTTACCATCTTTTCTCAATATGCAACCACAAAAAAATATCATAGGAGGGTGATCAGAAAAGTATTTTAAAGAAACAGATAAATAAACACCATTTGGACTAAAACTGTAACAACTAAAACCTCTTTCCAACTGAAAATAACACGTTAACGCATGTTTTTCAAACATGGGTCGACCAGCTAATCGGCATATGGCTCCCCTTCCATAAGCAAAGACAGCTGGGTCTGACCACTCGCTGGCTGCTGCATGGCCCCTGACCCCCCACTGCTGCGTGTCTGGTGACACAATCCCGCTGGCTTAGCTTTGATGATGTCACCAGTGCAACAGAAGTCAAGAAAGTAAATAATGGAGAAACATGTAAGGAAGCTAGGATACTAAGTGTGCTTTATGGTTTTGCTCCTTGCTCTGTCCGAATTCCTCTCACTAGGGCTGCAGCATGTTTATCAAATGAGTCGTTTTAGGCTTATTCGATCAGAACCAAATGGCACGGTGTGTTGACGTCCGTATGTTGTGTTCAAAGGTATCAAGTAATTTAGCGAATCAACTAGGGTCTGGTGTTCCCACAGCATGCCAATCGTTTTTAACGCGGGTCGCTTGCTGAGTCGTTTGACCCGAGTATGCACACTGTTCCCACTGGCACTAAAAGCCGATTGTTCCCAGGTTTAAGTGGGTTGTTCAGCCAGTGGGAAAGGGATATAAATGAGGAAAGTGTTTGAAGCACTTCTCTGATGCACTGTATGGACCACACAGATTACTTTAGGAGGTTTATGGTCAAAAGAGACAGAACATCTTGGAGTTAAACATGGTGAGCCTTTGGCTTAATTTCTTTGTCCGTTTAGGGGAATATTTGATTTGAAGGACACAGAAAGAGAAGAGTCTAATTTAACAAGACACATTTCAAAACTGCAGCATAGATTTGTGCTCATGATGGGAAAAAAACATCTGCTGTTTACCATAAAAATCCATTTTCCTTACCAGCTCAGAGTCCTGAACCAAGGCAGCTCATAGGAATGGTAAACTCTGTAGCCGATGGTGATGATTTCATGGAAACACTTGATTTGAACACACATGACCTGCGTCAGAAAAAGAGGAGGGGGTGGACAAGTCAGACGGACAGCAGGGACTCAGTTCTCAGGGTTTATCAAAACCTATAAACTTATTCTTAAAGCTGAAAATCAAAGATACACACACAACACAGTAAAGCTTTACGATTCACTGTAACTTACCACAAAGATAAGAGTGATGGGTCCCATATAGATGATGAGGAAAAAACCTGAAATCATACAGATGGACAAAAGTCCTCGTATCCAGTAGTTCTTCCATCTGTGGAGAAGTTTATAAAGCAAACAAATGTTAATAAAACAGAACAATAAATCCGCAATTGAACTAAAAAGGCAACAATTTTACAACAGAAGATCCCCATTAGCAGAAACAAAATTAGGTAAAAGGGGAAAGAACATTTATATAAGCTGAGAAGCAGAGGCATGTAAGGGTTATAGAAGTAAAGGATTTATCAGATCAATGCGATGCCACGGCCGAGGCTAGAAGTGACCCACACCACTGCTTATACGTCTGTGCTTTTCTTCTAAGAAAATTCACTTTTTTTGTCTTTCTACAACAACATCATTTTTTGAGCAAAAGCAGACTAGACAGCTGATCAGTCATACGAGATAAAAGTTGCTTCGTCAGAGCAGATTCGAAAAAAGTGTTTCCATCTTTTTTGTGCCTTCACCCTTTTTGCAAAAGCCAAAAAACACCTCAAGCGAGGGTAAAAACCTTTCTGCAAATTCCTGCTATCTTGTTTGAATTTTGCAAATTTCCATCAACCTTTTCTGATGCAAAGCTTCAAAATGCACATAAGAAAAAGCTGATGAAAACGCACCTATTGTAAGCAAGAATCAAACAATGTGGTTAATAACAGCTAAGTGTTTATAAACCAAACCTGTCAATTTTTTTTTACATTAATCCATAAATAATCAGGTAGGAAAAGGTGCCATCAAAAAGATTGTTGTACAGAATGTAAACAGAGGGATGCTAAAACTATGCAACTTAAAATGATATTCACAGAGATAAAAAGGTTTCTCTTCTTAAATGCTAAATGTTTATACATAATATATTTTTTTAACAGTTTCTGTAAAGTAACTGCAACCATCAATGAATCACGACTAATCCAATTGTTTCAGCCAAAATAAATAGTACTTCCCAGTGCTTTATATCAAAAAAGAAAGTATTAAAATAAAATCCATTGTGATCTGAACACCTTGTGCAGTGTCTGCAGCTCTGAGGCTCACCTTTCACAGTGAATCTAAAGAGCAGTAACTGTCTGTTGGATGAATGGAGAAGAAAAAATAGCTGCATCATGAGAAAAGCTCTGTGCACTGCTGACGCTCTGCATCTCTCCAGCACAACCCCCCTCCCACGACGCAACCTTTACCTTCCAATCCATTCATCCCTTCTCTGCTGTCATTCAAAGAACTCCATTCATGCATGATTGCCTTCACTACTGTTATGTTTTCCCTGCATCAACCTCCTGATCCTGGTGTTCTGCAACGTAATACCAGGTAGTGTGGTTTGAAATCTAATCTACTCCCTCCCTTCTTCTCCTCTCTGCAGCCAGTTTATCGGCACGTCTCTCTGCAGCACTTGAGCTGCAGTGGCGCCCTTTGGCTCGACAAACCTTAAGGAGCTGTGTGACCTGCAAGTCATCCAGTGGCCACACCCTCCACTCCTTCAGCGTCACACAAAAACACTCCATTGTCAGTTTGTGCTCATGTTACTGAGGACCTTTCCACTTTAAGGCACTGATATCTCTGGTATCTGTTTATCTGTTCAGTCCTATCTTTCTTCCCATGTTTTTCCCCTATCAGACACCAGCATTTCACAACAAACATCTCATCTGGGTAAACTAACATTTCTGAGTTTTTCCAAACCATTTTTAGAAGATGACGGACCAAACATGCCTGCCTAACTGAACCAATCAACAGAGGAAGGAGATTATTGATCGGAGAAAAAGCCGAGAGGCCTAAGGTCATTCTGCAGAGATCCTAAGCTCAGACAGGGAGAATCTGCTGACATGTCAGCTAATAGAAATGCTTTATAGCTGCCTACAAACCATGTATGGGACACATTAAACATGGAGGAAGGTTCTGGTCAGATCACAATAAAAGCAAACGTTTCAAGCTGAAGGTAATAAGAAGATGCATGGAGGTTAATAATTGGAGAATTCTGGGAGACCTGATGTTTGATTTCCATCCAATATGACTGAGTCCAAGATAATAATAACCTCTGAAAGGCTGAAGCCATTGTGAGGCTTATTCTGCTCATAAAAAATTGACACAAAAAGTGAACATAGCTGTAAGGAAAAGAAAGTAAGATCATGCATAATTTTCCCTCCTTTTCTTTTTTGTGTTTGTCCAATTTAGTCAGGGAAAAAAAAATCAATTTCTCTTTACATTCCTTCAAATGCTGATGATAAATTTCTTTTTAATATAAAAGTTTCCATTTAGGCCGTCGCACACATGCCAGGCTACTTAGTGTCTGGGTGAGAGGGGTTGTTTTGAACTATTAGGACATTTTTGGAATAGAAGCTAAACTCTTTTAGACTCAAGATTTATTCAGCATTTTACTGTTTTTTTCTTCACATCAGTAGCTTGTTTTGATTAAACTGTCTGTCAGGACCTTCACAGCTCTTAGCAGATTTTAAGTTAGTTTGAATAGCCTTGTTTAGGGCAGAACATCAAGCTGTGAAGGCTGTTATGTTCTTCTTCTGGCCTTTCCAAAGACAAAGTGCTGACTGATCGATTAGCATCAATCTCCTTTATTTAACTAGATTGTATAGTTGAGTACTTTTTTCCGATAACAATAAAATACAAACAATATAATGCACTAAAGTAGATCAATGATCTTCAGAGCAGCCATCTGAGGTTTGATCAAAAATCTCAAAATTTTTACACACCACTTCCCTTTTTCTCTATCTGCCCGTTCCAGTCTGTCTGATGTAGACGTTTTGTAGATGTAGATGACGAAAAACAAACAAAGTTTAAGTGGTGCACCTGTCTGGACATAAAGCTGTGCCATTAAAAACCGAATGTGAAATGTGAGTCTGAGAATCTGTGTATTATTGCTCTTAGGGTCAATGAATCACTTAGCCAGCAAAAGTAAAAAAAATGCTAATTTAGTTTTTACACAAAAAATATGTTTTTAAAGCAAATATGTTTAAAACAATGTAATTCTGTTTCAATTGCCTAGAATTCGTTTTCAAAATATTGAATCTTATTTTAAATGACAGAAAACAGGCAATTTCTGAATTAAAAATGCTTAAACAAAGAAAATAAATTTTTTTATTGTTAAATTAAATAAATGAACAAATTACCAACAATGTTATGTTAAATGGATAAAGTATAGAAATCAGAAGTTAAAAACAAATATTTTGGTATTTTGGGCTTCCTGCATGCTGCCATTCTATACGTTTTTTTCCCTGGATAAGACAGCTGATTGTCAGTTTTCCTGGAAGCAACAAAGTTTTTTGACCAACTTTAACCATGTTTTTTTTTTTCCATTTAACATCCAATTTAACAGAATATTAACAGCTCTTGCTAAGGTTTAAAAATACAGCTGCTGGACTGATTTCTAAAGGTGATACAGAAGAAACAAAAACATTTTGATGGCAGTTTCTGCTAATAAACATCAACTAAAAGCTGTTTAAGGCATTAAAATGATTTAAATCAAACTTCCTGGCCTTTCAGAAGGATACGGTAATCAACTAAAATAAATATTCATGGTATTCGGTTTAATATAACATCAAAACAAACTAAACTTCAATTGCTATTTATTATTCTAAAACTGCATTTATCTTTTTCTTATATTTTCATAATATTTTCCTCTGTTATTCTCATTCTAAATTATGAACAACAGGCTATTTCTATGATGAAGTTTACAAATAACCCTTTAATTTTGCTGCTGTATGCCAGCATGTAGTGAAAAAATTATGTTAAGATGCAAGAAAAATGACAATATTGAGTTTAAACCTAAATAGAACATCTGAGACTGGGATATTTCTGTTTTTTGGCATTTATGTGAAAACAAAATAAGCTCTTTATGTTTGTACCGGCCTGTCTAAAATAAAAAAAGGGCGTCTGCTCTGATAACATGTGGATGCAAATATATACAGCAGAAGTCTGGACTCTCATCCTGCTGTTATCAGAGCTCCCTCTGATAAACTCTACCATCACTTTTCATGTCAAACTCAAACAGGTTCCTGGAGAGGCTGATGGAGATCAGTGTTACTGGTAGAGAAAAATGTCAACCATCATCAGCTTGAGGAAATATGCTACCCTGCAGTTGAACAACTTAGTGAAGGAGGTTGGATTGTAGGTTGCTTTAGGCTATAAGCCTGACCATAAAATTAAAACGAATAGGAATTCTCTGATCTGACATCATTATGGAGGATTTTTTTTACTAAAGGTAGGATACTGACTGCTTGAATCAATGCCACTCTTAATCTACCAAATGAATCCTTTAGCGCTCTACTGCAATCTGTGACAAATTTCCCCCAAAGTCAACTGAAATTATTGTCACATTATAGGATTCACCGATAAACGCTGTCGCACTTAAAGCCTTTGAAGCTTATTCTGGTATTTGATCGCCCATTTTAAAGGGCAGCTTCACAAATAAATGAAAACTTCTGCAGTCAGTTGTACCTGGGTGGAAGCCCCTCCAGAGCTTTGTTCAGACATTCTGGAGTGTTGTCAGTATCTGCTGTGGAGACAGGAACATCTGGAGTGTCAGTTTTGGTGTCGGCGTCACATTCTCCCTCCGCATCGCCTTGCAGGCCAAGCCTGTCTTCGCTCTCCGCCTCCTGTTGGAAAAAACAAAAAACAAAAACAGAAGACGGATTTAAACACGGACTCAAAATTAGGATTCTTTGCTTGTAAGAGTAATAAGTATCCAATATAAACTGTACAAATGTTTATGAGACAGATAAATATCGACAGTTTTCACTTTTTTGGAAAAAGATTTTACCAGAAGAGGTGAAAACACATAAAGCCTGGTTAACATGGCAACATAATCATTAGTGTGAATTGGCAAAAAATTGTCGATACGATACGTACCACAATACGCTTAATCCTGATAAATTAACAGAGACAATATAAAGCCATTTTTACAATAATATAGCTCTGGAAGATGAGATTTTGTGCTCAGCTGCAGGTAGTACAGGGCAGCTGAATAATAGGCTCTTAGCGGTGTGCTGCCAACTAATGGTCGGATGTTTAAAAGTTAAATTCAAGTTTTTTTTTTTGTTTATTTGTTTTTTTTTTTTTTTTTTGCGGCACTAATGGCTAGTTTTTTCGATAGTAGGCTGACAGGAAAGGGGGCATGAGAGAGGGGGAGAGACATGCGGCAAAGGACCACAGGTTGGAATCGAACGTGGGTCGCCCGCTTAGAGGACCAAGGCCTCCATACATGGGTCGTGCTTGCTAACCGCGGCGCCACCTGCATGCCCAAAAGTTAAACTAAAGTTAAAACAATTAAACAGATGTTTGCCCAGATGAGGGCAAAGCTGAACCCTCATTGGGATTCTTTGGAGCATCAAGAGTAAAGCTAAAAGCTGCAGGGACTTCTGAGTGGTGCAAACAGTTAGATATCCTGATAGGATCTGTGTCGTTTTTTTTCTCGTTAAAAGCTGGGATTTTTGACCATTTTACACACAAATAAAGAACCGAAGAGAATCAAAACCACCTCTAATAAAAACATCTTCCAAAACATCTGATATAATCTAGTAATGACCAGTCTGCCCTGATGATGGATATGATGGAGCACCATGTCAGAAGACAAGAAGTGGAAAGTAAATAAAAAGATCAGGACTGGGACTGAAATAGTGGATTAATGGTGATTACTGAAATAATCCTGAAGTAAATTAAACTTATTTGTTAATTAGAGCATAATGACAATAAAATAGCAGAAAGAGAATACAATTCAAAAAAGGGAATAAAAGGTGAGACTGTGCAATAAATGCATACATTTATCATTTGCTATCAGATTATGAATCCATAGAGTTAGAAAAAAATAGTCAACAGATTAAAATAGCAAAATCATGAGCTGCAGCCCTACTCTAAACAGCAAAAGTTTGGACCGTTGATCAGGAAACCATCTGGAGGCTGACCTGACGAGGAACCAGCAACCAGCTCTGGAGAACCTCATTAAACTAGGCGGTAAAACAGCTAAAGAATATCACATCGAACAATGTTACTTCAAAAGGTTTTAGAAAACAAAAATTAACTTAAAGCAAAATGACATTAAAAAGCTGCAGTATCATATACGTTATTTTCAGTTGCAAAAGAAAGCTTTCCCTTCTAACTTTCTGACTGAAGCATCAAGTGTTCTGCACTGCTGATGCTACTAAAGCTTTAGACATCAGGACCAGCAGCATCCTCCAAGGAAATGTATCTCTATGGCAACAACATGAGGCAGCATTCCAGGAACCGAGTCTAATTGTTCTGCAAACATTAAGTAATAATAATAAAATAATAATAATATAAACTTTGTATGACGAGGAACTTTAAACAAGTTAGAAACAATGCTTAATGTCAGCACTTTAAAGTTTATAACAATGTTATTTCTCAATAAGCATTATCAGAGTGGACTTTAAGACAAACATTAACGCAAAGTGGAGCTAATAAATTGACATTTAAATAGAAGTTTTTCTTGAGATACAATCATTAACATGGCGGGTTGAAATCAGCTGCACTTCTATTTCTGTGTCAGGTTTCCTTTTTAACCCAGAGAACCTCTCTGTTGCTCGTCGTCTTTTTTTTAACCTTTAATGGGCTCTTTTACTCAAATGGTGCCAAGTGTGGTTGAAAGGGGTCATCAGGGTTCAATTACAGAGCTTTAAGTCCACAGAAAGGGAAAGAAGTCTTGTGGGGAGGTGTAGCGGGGGTGTGATGTGGGTTTCTGCTTGGGTTATAAAGCACGCCTGCAGGTTAGAGGAGTACATGGCCATTTTAGATTGACTAAAATAGGAAATGCATCAGTATCTGACGGCTGCCTCTGTGCTCAAGTGGAAATAATGACAAAGACCACTCACTGCCTGGACAGTAGGACTTTTTCTTGCTCATTTTTGACAAAATGTCACCAAAGTTGGTTTAATTTCCACAAAAACATCTCCATAGTAATGCACAAGAATCTGACTGCGGATCAGTAATGGTTTTCAGTTATGTTATTGCATTAAAAACATATAAACAAGTAAGTACATAACACAGATGTTAGACACAAAGCTGTAAGAAATGTGTAAAAAAAAAAAAAAAAAACAGCTACAGAACAGGTGTCTGGGTACATGAACAATGAACAACAGCAAATCCTACATAACAGGCATGTTTAATTATGTATCCCTGTTCAAAAAAGTGCAAAATACCAGAAGAAAACATCAGAATAGCAAAAGAAATAATGTCTTGATGTAAAAAGATCTTTTAAAATCTAAACTAGTCTCACTTTGGTCACTCATCGTGTGTCCAGTTACAAAAACCGTGTGCTGATGTGAGCAGAGCTATAAGGTGAGATCATAGATCAAGGAACAGGAAGCCAGTTCATGCATTTTACATAATATCAAACGTTGGTTTCATCATCTTTAATTGAGTTCATTGAAATGTCACCTTAAGGTGTTTTAGAAGGTCAGATGGATGAAATCCTGCAGTCAGCAGAGCGTTATCCCATCACTGACATCATAAAATGCAAAGATGCATAAGAGACCTTTAGAATAGCAGTAAGATATCCAACTAAACAGATGAATAACAGTCAAGATTGCTCCAACATACCTATTCCATGTTTCAATAGAACACATTTACTTTGTCTCTTGACATTTAGCTACTGAGGGATCTATAAGACTACAGAATAACATTAAAATCTTCCTCAAACTGCAACCTTTTAGCTCCTTTTCCCGTGACCTCAGGCTTGGGGGTTAGCATCTAAAATCTTTGCACACAACAACACGGGTAAGAAAACATGAAGGCAGGTAGATTTGTAAAAATGTTGATACAGAAACAAACCCCTGACTGTCAGATGACTGAGGAGGAATGCTTTTCTACTCACCTACTTCCTCCTCCCTACAGGAGGAAGGAGAAAGGAGGAAAAAGGACAGATATCACAAGCGTTATTTAACAGCAGGGATATATATTTTATCTCTGTGTCCAAACTGGATGAGTTGATGTTATGCTGAAAAGCAGTTCAAAGAAAATAACTTCTTGATAAATACTGGCTTTGATAATGACCTGACCTCAAACCAGATACAGCTCTCATTAGTGATGAACCAGCCGATCGGCCGATGACTGGAGTTAGAATAATGTTCCTCTGACTAGTGACGGAATGCTCAAAAAATTAATTACTTTCTTTAAAACTGATTTCTTCCACTTTGTCACATGATTGAGTTGCTTCTTTTTTTTCTAGGTTCATGATGATTTTTGTAGAAACTCAGCATAGAAAACTTAGGATCAGTTTTACTGTATGATCTGGTTGAATTGTCTCTGTAAAGTTCTTTGAAGTGATGTGTTGTGAACTGGCGCTATAAAAATAAACTGAATTGAATTAAAATACAGCAGCAGGCGGTGCATATGGTACCTAGGCCTTCAATGGGCACCATTCAATTTAATCTACTTCTTATCACTAGGATAAGTAGATTAAGTCAAGGGGTTAATATCACCACCTTGACATCTCTATTCTTTTTTTTATTATTCTTTTCTTTTTTAATAAAAAATAATAATAATAATAAAATAAAAACAACAAAAAAAAACCTACATCTTCACATTTCAATAAAAGAAGCCACAGATAGTATTCAAAAATGAAATGTAACAGGCGCAGGTTTATCAGAGAGGAAGATTAATGTGAGGGTGAATACAGAGGTCAATTAAGAAAGAAGCCCGGTTAAGACAACGGCAATCCTCTACTCTATAGCCACAGCTCCACCAGATACACATCATCAGTAGCCACTCAGATTCAATATGCATCTAATTACCAGATAAAAAGGAGCATAAAGCATACAAATAAATTTATCACACTCTCCAGAGATACTGATTATTTATAAACAAATCCATCCATCTGTCTTTGTGCAGGAAGTCTTACGCCGGGCTTACACTGTACGATTTTTTTTGCCCTTTTCGGGCTGACTTTCAAGTCATGCAAGAATTTTTCTATCGGGCTTTCAGCCTGATCATACATCGTGCGCCGTGTAGTGTACAGGGGGTAACAAGAGGCGATCAGCCTCTCACAACCTGCAGCACTTACTTGCAATAGAAGAGCCCTAGAACAAAGACATATCTAAAATATGCAGGGCAGGGCTCCCCGAGGACCAGGGTTAGGAACCACTCTGCTAAGCCACCACTTGAGTACACTATGGTATTATTATAGGGGGAGTGGCAGCCTAGTGGTTAAGCAATGAGCTTGGAATCCTGAGGTTCTACAGTGGCAGTCTGTGGGAGCCCCACTCCCATTGAATGCCACTCTGGGTCTCTGAGCAAGACCCTTAACCCCCGATTGCTTCCCTGGCTGCCCCACGATGGCAGCCTACTGCTCCCCAAGGGGATGGGTTAAAGGAAAAAGGAAATTTCTCCAATGTGAGAGCAATATAGTTAAATTAAATTAAAAATTTAATTTTTTATTATTATATATAGCCTAGGGATGGAACGGATTTGAAAACCGTCCGAACCGTTCAGTTCGACTGTCTCGGTTCGGTTCGCGTGTGTTACGTTCGGTTCATGCGCTGCTCCTTTTTCTCATAGGCGAAGCGTTTACACTCCAGAGCAGAAGGTGGTGGTACTGTGACCAAAGCCAACCACCAGTAGTAAACAAGAAGAAGAAGAAGCGAAA